GCGTCCACTCACCCTCTGCGCTTTCACTAGGAGCTGCAATCCTGAGCTGTTCCTAAACGGCCATCTTGGATCACCTCCCCCAAAATGATCCTATCATTCGTCTTTTACAACTCATTTGAAATTTCCCTGAAACTGCCTTTGGTTACTAGCTGGTTATATAGACTAGAATGTTGGTGGCACTTAAAAGTAAGAACATTTGTTTTTGTTTTAGGAGATTTTTTTTTAATGTCAATTAGGATTATTTTGGCAAGTAATTGTTTAAAAATATTCCCTTTTTTATAAGAAGAGTGTTGGGAACCCTGGTGAATCACACTTTTTTATTTATCAAAATAGAAACGTTTGGTATGATCCAATATGAAACTTCACAGAAAAGGCTATTAATCACCTCTGAAATTATTTCTTACAAAAGTATTACTCTCAGATTCTTGACTTCTGTTTTCTGTGTCTCCTTTCCATTTAGGATGGGTTTGCTTTGTAATTAGTGAAGGTACATGTCTGTCTTTAGGCAGCAGCCTAATCTCTGTGACCATACGTGCAAAAGCAGTATAATTATAACGCAGTATTAGTTAGACAATATGATTGTTTTTGTTTTAATTATTTCAAGTCATCTTATCTTTCTGTTCCTCAAAGCATGTTAATGGGTAAACTTATGGGTACATGTTTATGTTGTTTCTATGAATTAAATATGTGCATATTGACATAAACTTGGTAAACAGTTCTTTTTTAAATCTTTATGATGTTATGAATAGATTTCCTTTCTTCTCAAACATCACTTTAGTCCTGAAGACTAAATCAATTATTAAAAATTGGTTATTTACATTTTAATTAATTTAAGGAACACTGATTCGAGTATAGATCTCTGGATGGGGAAGTATCACTCTGGAATTGATATAATAGGTTGTTAGAAATTCCTAGATTTGCTTCTTAGTGAATTAGGAATTTACATGCTAATATCTCACATTCTGTTGAAATAATTTGTTAGAATATTTGGTGATGGTTACCCATTTTCACTATATGTAAATATAAGTACATAGAAGACCGTATGTAGAAACTGGCATTTATCTGTGTTCAGATTTTAACCTTTGTCTCCTTATTTTTTCAGTTGTTTTTATTTCAGTTGCTGCGAGGGCTGTCTTACATCCACCAGCGTTATATTTTGCACAGAGACCTGAAACCACAGAACCTTCTGATCAGTGACACGGGGGAGTTGAAGCTGGCAGATTTCGGTAAGAAAGCAGTTAATTACCAGTCTATTTTGTCACAATGTGAGAATGCCAGGCAGATGGTGGCACTGCATTTGTTTAGGTGCACTTCTTCTGTCATCATAGATCATGGTAAATTTTTTTCTGGAATGAAGGATTTTTTTTCTTTTTTATGATAGCATAAAACATAATGCTTTGTGGAATTTTATAAAATTCAGACTGCTTGTTAGAGTCTTTAATAATAAACATAAACCAGATCTTGTTAATATATATTTCCAAAGGAAAAGTCAGTGAAATTTTTAACATAAAATATATACTCCTTGAGCAAAAATCTATTTTTCTAAACTTCTATTATGAAAATGTCAATTATACTCAAAAGTAGAATATAATGAACTTCAATGACTCATCACCCAGCTTCAACAATTACCAATATTTTGCCAAACTTAGAGAAACCTAAATTTAAACCTCTGGACCTTTCAGAGGGTTGCAGGATATATTCAATAATATACGTTGCCCGGAGACTTTAATAACTAGAAATCTAGATGTAGTGTTAACCTTTCCAGAATTGACTTTTGTTTCAAGTATTTTCAATATCCTTACAAAAATAGACACTTACTAATATTTAAAAGTTGAGGTTCTGGAGTGGGCATTGTAAGCCTTTCCTTCCTTAGATGTTTTGAGATTGTCTTCTTCTAGCATAGAAGCTTTCCTCCAAACACTATGTTTGAGCATCCAAAAGGGAGCGCAACTATTGTATGCTCCTTGCTAGCACCCCTTCCCTTGATCAAGTCTGACATTTTGCATTGGCCAGGCTTTCTGTCATGCTGGAGATTGTGTTGAGTTGATTCTGAGCACCAGGCGATGCCTGGTAGCAGCATGATATGTTGACATTGCATTGCCTCAATTATTTTTGAATACATGTTCTGATTAGAAATTTGTTCCATTAAGAATAGAATGAAAATATTACCCTTGGGACATAAAGATGCCTGAGGTTGAGATACGGGCTTTTGCTGAAATATGATTATCTTTTCCCTCTCCATACCCCATTATATAAAAGAAGGCAGGAAATGTTTATTTCTTATTTTAAGGTTAGTAGACTGCTGAATACCTTTGGAATGAATCTACTTTGTTGGGTTTTATAAATTCTTTTATTCAAAAATGAAATAAAACAAAAGTTAGTATGACTAGTTGACTAGGAATATATTATAAAACTTTGTCATTTCCTGCTTTGATAAAATGATGAAATTCTGTGTGCATTAGTGTGTTTGTATGTATAGTTTATTGCCAGATTTTAGCATTAGAATTACACTAGGTAGCTGGGTATAAAGTCTTTTTATAATAGGGTAGAAAATAATGGGAGAGTAGGGGGTAAAGGAGAGAAGGTTTGGAGTTTCTCAAATTCAGATTATTGGCTTTACTGGGAATATATTCTGTAGTTGGTCAGTGTCAGGAAATGAAAAATGATTTATAGTGATTTTCTTATGGTGTGTTGATATACTGTAAGTTATATGTTAAAATAGATTATGGTATTAAGCATTTAATTGTATCAACATGTGTTTGTTGTATATTTATAAAATACATTTTTGTGAATTTAATTTATCTATATAACCAAACATACAATAGGATTGTATGTATGTGCTTACTAGGGATTCTTTTTCAATATTATGCTCATGTTTTTATTGTAATGGGTAAGTTCGTCTTAAAAGATTCTTAAGGATCTTTATTTTAAAACTGACATTTTAAAGTATCGGATTCAAAAACAAATTGAAATATAATTTTTAAAAATTTAGATGATTGTTTTAGAAAATTAGAAAATTTACAAAGTTTAGAAAATTAGAAAATTTACAAAGTATAAACAACTCAGAGAGGACAAATATTAACATTTGTTTTGTTTATTTTCCCAGTAGCTTTCTCCCATTCCTTTCTCTCATTTTTTGCTTCACCTCCATGTTACATAGTTTGAAAGAAGAAATATACTATTTTGTTAGCATTTTTCAAATGATATGAACATTTTCTCATGTTACTAAGCTTAACAAAATCATTTGTAACTGTAACACTTAGATTTTTTTCCGTTAATGGTCAAACCTAGTCTCTATTCAGGCCCTTATTAATGAGCATTTTGGTTCTTTCTAATTTTTCACTGTTATGCTTAGTCCTGTACTGAACATCCTTGTAGAGATAGCTATTGATACAACAATTGAAATGTTGAGTGTTTTAAAGCATTTGATTCTTCTGATCAGACTGCTGTGCAGAAAGATTGTGCCCATGTACCTGTTCTCAGAGTCATGGAGAGAATCGTCCAGCTTGGAATATGCACTTGGCATGCAACCTGTGCACAGAGTGTAGTGAGCGAGACTCATTCACCAACTGACAATTTCCCCCAATTAATTGTGCAATTATTTGTCTTTTAATTTAAGACATGCAATTAACTGTGATTTACTGTGTTTGGGCATGTGTGTGTGTCTGACATGAAGGAAACACACTGGAAACTCTAGAGAAGCTAGACAGTCAGAATAGGATGGTTCCAGGCAGCAAAACAATTTAAAAAAACAAGGTCTTAATTCAGTATTTGATGTGTGAAGAGGTTTAAAAATGGTTTCTTTGTCCTACTTTTCTTTCTTATGTGACCAAAACCATAAAATTTTGATTAAAAGAGACAAATATAATTTACATGATTGTAGTTCTCATATTGTAAATGATACTACTTTCATTAGAAAAAAATATTGAGGGGTAAAGACTAAAATTTATTGAGTTTATTCTCTGTGCTAAACACTTAGAAATTCTTGCTTCATTGTCTCTTCAAGCTAGGAATGTATATTAACCTGTATTTTTGAGAGAGATGAGATTCAGAGAGGATAAGAATCTTGCCCAGGCTTGGACATACAGGTTGCTGGTTGCAAACATGGAATTCATACTCTTGATTCATATCTTTCAATCTCAGGTGGCCCAAGGTCTTTATATTTATACATGTAGATGTTTTCTCTTACAGGGCAGCCTAGTGTAGGACATTACTGATTGTTTTTGTATGCCGTTTTCTATATATGACATCCATGCTATGTAAATAGATTATACTAGTTCAAAAACATGCATCACATAAAGAACACTTTGTCATTTGACTAATTCAGTAGTAATAAGTGAGTTCAACCTTAGTAGACTTTACCTTCTGGATGAAGTAAACCAAATGATAGTGAATTTGTACACCCCTCAGGTTTAAACAGAATGCAGTTCTGAATTCCAGGTGGTCAAAATGCTGTAACTATTTTTTTTTTCTTGTAAGCAAAGTCATATTTAAACCCTTGCCTGAGCCTTGTTTTTTATATACGTTTTGAATAAGTAAATTACACATGATTGAGAATCACTATGGCTTTTCTAATGCAGAGATTTGCTCTGCCTGGATATAATAAAATAATAAAATTTTATGGAGGCATGCAGACTCATTTCTTAAAGGATGATTTATCTTTACATAATCTACTGGAAAAATATTTCAAATCCCTTATGTAGCCTGTGTCTTCACCACCTTGTTGCTCCTTGCAAACTGTGGTGCAGCCAAACCGCGAACTTGTTTCCACTAGAGGCTTGCAGTTTGCTTTTCCTTTTGCTTGGGATGCTCTTCCTTCTGCTTCTCATGCGGCTGCCTTTTTCTTAAAATAGAGGTTATAGTTCACATCACCTCTTCAAAAACAGAATCTTTTCCATACTATCATCAACTCTTATTTCTTCAATAACACTTCTAGGGCTCTGAAATCATTTTGTTCATTTGTTTATCTGTTTATTTTTGGCTTAAACTTCTTGATTGGAAGTTCCATGAAGGCAGGAGCTTGATCTGTCTTGCTTACTGTTGTCTACACTATCTCTAGAACCATGCTTAGCATGTAGTAGATGTTCAGCAAATATTGATTGAATGAATAAAAAATATACATGACTAAATTTAGTATTAGTCTAAAGACTAAGACCCACCTGAATTTACGAATTTCTGTCTGATTAGTTTTGGCAAACTAATAGTTTATAAAATAATTTTCTTTTTATCAGTGCTATCCTGGCCACACATGGTGAAGAGTGTAGATGGAATTAGATGCTTTAGATAGTGTTAGAGCTTCAGGAATAGACATAACCTTAAACATAGACCCTGCACACTCACTGGGTATTTATTATGTGATCTCAGGCTGCCAAAATAAACACGACTAAGTGAATGTAAACATATATAAAATGCATAAGATTTGAGGTTTCTACTCTGTAACCTCTAAATGATTGTCTAAATGTACTATTCTTGAAAGCAAAGTATGTTGCACATTGAGTTAAGAGAATTTGCTCTGTCTATAACTAGCTTGTGACTTTCAAGACATCATTTGTCCCCTTCTGAGCCTTCCTTGTCCGAAAAACAAGAGCATTGAACATATACTTTCTAAGGTCCTTTTAGGGCTGACTTTTTATGTTGTACATTTCTGAAATTATTAATTTATTTTCTAATGACCAGATATTTGCTGGTAGATAAAAAAAATAAAAATAAAAATAAAAAATCTGTCCATTAAATCTAGAATCAATGCTATTATCCCTCCCTAGAATCTAATTTTTGATTCTATCTTTTGGAAATTCTAATAGATGACAACCTTGCTTTTATAATAAGCATTGAGAGCACATTAAAAGAAAATTATTGAAGCAAAACAAGTAAATGCATAAATAAATTCACCGAGAAACTAAGGTCATTTGCAGTATAATAGTATGAAAACTTAAATGTATTTTTCCATATAAATGAGATTAAAGCAAAATGGAGGAGCCTGTAGAATTTCTGTAAGATGATATTGGTGTCATCTATATTTCTAAGCCATTCTTTTACTATTTTTAAGGGTTATGGTCTAACTATACAGAAAGACAGCGAGATTAAAGTTGCTGCTGTTGAAATTGAATGAGAGATAGCAAGAATTCTATAACATAAGTGTTTAAGGACTTAGCTTATTTTATTGGCTTTCCTGGTGGAGAAACAAAGTTGAAAAACTCTGTGGTTATAATTAAGTAAAATCACATTG